ATAGTAAATGAATATGGTCTGCGTTTGAACGGGACTCAAGTGAGATCTCAGTAAATAGTAACAACTGTAATATACTGTAACGAAGTTACTTTTTTTTTATTTATTTAAGAAATATAGGATCCGTCGGAAAACCGAATTATTATTTTTATTTTATTTTTCGTATTCATCATTTAGCTTTAACGTTAAAAATTCGAGTTTTCAAACGTTTACTATATATTGAATCTTCCCATCAAAATTTTTTATAAGTCAGTGGACGATCGCCTGCATTTCCCCACCTCAATCTTCGATTAATAATCGAGTTTGCACGACGAGTGGCGAAAATCACCTGTAAAACAAGCTGCACCGGCCAGGGGGTCGATTCTCGACTTGTAGGAATATTTTCCTATAGGAATTTTTGACATTTTTATATACATCGAAAATTTATGACATTTCACTATATATAGGAAAGTGTCACAAATTCCTATAGGAAAAGGTTCCTACAAGTCGAGAATCGACCCCCAGTAGTGTTGTAAATATCCGTATCTTTTTAGTATTCGGATAATACGTATTCGGAACCAAGAGATATTCGGATTCATCATCCGGATACGTATCCATATTCCATATGTGAGAAGTCATAATAATACGCAACCGTAAATACACCGCGACATGTAGAATCGGAACCGGGCAGTGTTGCTAAACCTAGCAGAATTTGTTTGAGAATGAAGTAGCAGAAGCTTTTAATGTTTTAGAATAATAAACTCAAGAAAATCTCAAATATTTTGTTTTTATAATAATATCAGAAATAACATTTCTCATTCACTGAATATTATTTATATTTATACAACTTTGTTACCATTAATACATGCCGACTAACCGACTACGAATTGCAACAAGGCTAGTTAGGCCGATTTCGAACTCCGATTTCGCATCGGTTGCCACCGCTCAGTTGCCACCCGCAAATCTCGCAATCAGCTCTGTTATGAACACAGTATATGAAGCAGATTTCAGATTTTATTTCTGTCATTTTTGATTCCGAATCCGTATTCGAAATTTACACATTGATTCCGGAATATCCGGATCCTTTTACTATTCGGATTCGACGGATTTTTGGATACGTATTCTTACATCACTAACGGCCAGATCTCATCTCCATCTCATTATCTTTCCGCCGACGCTTGAGTTAGTAAGCAGCAATAATCCTTCCTCCATGGCAGCAATCCTTAGCAGTACCAGCCGCCTCCGATTAAACAAAACCCGTTCTCCGAGTACAGGTAAGAAAAAAACTGATTTCTTATCGCGTTGTTTTTAGAAGTAAATAAAAGACACATTCCGATTTATACCGGCTTTATTTTCTATTGAATTTGAAATACCGAAATAATTAATATTAAAGCATTTTGCTCTGTTAAATATCTTTACATTTTTAGAGATATTTATTTTCATTTCCCGACTGAATTATTGATTTTTTTTAAATTTTATTTTCCGATTTTGGATACGATTAAATTATTTAATAAGATAAATAGATTTAACGATTTAATTGCTGCCAGGTCTAGGTTAACTTTTTTTTTACAGTAGTTGATTCTTTTATTTAAATTTTCTTTCCTTTAAATTAAATACAGGGTGATACTCGTTATTGATTTAATGATTAAAAATAATGTCTGAAAACTAACTAGTGTTTTGTATGCGTGATTGTGTCGCTACAACACTAGTGATTAGACATTATCCGTGGATTTTTTAAATTTTTTTTTAAAAGGGGTCACGACCGAAAACACGTTTATTTGAGTTCCGTACAAAAAAAAAATAGTATCTGATGTCTAGCTAGTGTTTTGTATGGGTGATTGTGTCGTCACACTGCTGGAAATTAGATATTATCCGTGGTTACATTTTGTCTTTTACTTTGATTTAATTCCAAAAGGGTGGGATATTAGATGGGAAGCTAAACTAGTTACCTGGTACCGATTAATTTTATTTTTCATAATTGTTAATATTGAATTCTATTTCCGTTTATATTCCCTGTTCATAACTAAATGCTACCATAATCCGATTTAATTCAGAACTCCGTGTCATTTGCTTTTATCTGTATATTTATCTAAATCACGTCTCATTGAGCTCCGACCTGTCAAGCCATCGTCCGCAACCGCTTATTTTTGTTATTTTTTTGTTCAGGGTTATAACGGCTCATAAGGGGGTGGGCTTTGAAATATTTAAATTTTTATTATTGTTAATAGCTTTCGTAAGCAATAGATGTATTAATTTTCAAAAATTTGGCTTATAATTGTGTCGACCTTTCCCTCTTTCTCTTTCAGCTTCGACAATTCTTTAAACGTAACAATAACGATTAAAGCCCGTTATTGTTACCCTCTTATGTGTCTTACATCAACGAGACCCCTGGAGTTTTTCCGTCATCTCCACTAGAAGCTACCTGTGTTGTGGAGCAAACCACATTAATAAAACTGGCGCTCGAGTACTTCCGAGTCCTAGGGTGTCACTAGTAAGGGTAATATTTTCTTAGAGGCAAGAAAACATCTTACAATACTTTGCTAATTATTGCATCACATTTAAAGTATGAAAAATAAAAAGAGTTTAAAAATAAATTTGTATGTTTTATTTATCAATTTGCACCAAACTTTGCATCGAATTCTGGTTTACCTTAATTAACATTATCACAACGTGGGTATATAAATTATCAATTAATTAACTAGACGATCACTTTTACTACTAGAGGAAAAAAGGCCAATTACAGTAAGTATAGAATTTAAAGTAAAGTAAAACTTGTGAGGTAAATAAATAACATTTCAAAAAGAGTAAAGAGTAATAAAGAATAAATCACAAAAGAAGAAGGGGCCAGGGGCGTGGCCGTCACAGTACATACTCTATTTTCCCATCCCGTTCAACCTTTCGGTGCAACCTTTTAATATTAACTAGAACTAGAGGTCATGTTTTCTTTTAAATATTCAATGTTGTATTTTGTATCAACGTCTCTAATTCAATCCTTAATTTCAAATAGGTCATTAGGTATATACGCTTTTTCTGTAATTAATTGAGTGTTTGTAACTAATTTATTAGCATTTAATACAGACTTTAATATAACTTTTATGCGGTTTCTATTTCAGCTATTTTTGTTCGGTGGAAATACCTACTTTGACCAAAAAAGATCTGCCGAATCACCCTGTAAGGGACAATATTTTAATTATAGTAATTAAGTATGTATTTTGACTATATAGAATGAGCAAATAACTTCCAAAAATATTTAAGGGTGATTTTTGGTGTCCATTTTAAAGAATTAGGGATTTCTAACTTCGGTATCTCAAAATCTAGTCAAAGGATACGATTGGGCAAATGGACACTTTTGATGGGCACATCAAGTAATTTAACATCAAAAATTCAGACATTTTGACGGTACTCCCGTTTGCATAAGAAAAGTGCGTGGTCCTTTCTCGAATACGGACCATTTTAGGAAAATTTTGTATAAAACAAAAAATATAGAGAATATTATAAGAAGTAACTTTTATTTAAACAATTTTCATCTTTAAATGTAAATAACGGATATATTCCATAAAATATAATAATAATAATAATAATAATAATAATAATTTATTTACCAAAAATAATATAAAAACAATGTATAATGTATATCAAGTTCGTTCGAGATAAATAAACAGAAACACCCACAAAAAGAATCCTTGAGCATGGGTTATTGTTATTATTGGTTATTTAGGACGAGCAGTCTCAATAAAACACAATATTACAATATTATAAAAAAAATGAAAAATTATACAAAAATAATATTTGGAATAATATGAAAAACAGTTACGTAATACTAAGTTTTAGAGGTGTGTCGTTCGCGAACGATTCGTTCAAAAAGAACGAATCAGTGCACTGACTCGAATGAATTAATTCCCTGTTTTTAAAAGATTCGAATCTTTTTTGAGTCAATTGTTCGACGGCTCTGTGATCGATCAAGAACGCCCAATTCCGAGTTTGGTTGTTTCGTTCATTCGGATCTGATTCGAAGATTCGGTATTTTAAATCAGCATCGGCAAATCGGTCGCTTTTGTTCTACGTTCTACACAGCATAATACAAGAACTCGAACTTACAGGCGGTGGCGGTATGTGTCTGTAATGTTTTTCTCACTTTACCAGAGGTGTATTAAACTTAGGTAAACAATTTATGCGCGTTGTCTGATAAATAAATTTAAATCAAAGTAAATAAGTAAAGCAATAAATGACGAATCATATATCTATAATTTTTCGTTAGTTTTGGCTGTATTTAGCATTAAAAAAAAATTGTGTTACTGTTATTTATCTTAACGGACAAGGATGAACCTACTATTATAGTATTTAAATTTCCATCTGTCTTCTTTTTATGAAATATTAATTCGCTATACTTTAAAATATCAAATTAAAATAAAACCGGTATTAATTATTTTACTTAAGCATCTCACCACTCAAATCATTACATTTTTTCTTACGCATTACAGACTGAACGCCACTCGACGACCTAGTAAATAGGTAGTTCTCAAA